CGTTGATACTTACAAACGTTCAAAACATTTCCATAAACTTCTTTGGTATTATTTGTGGCTACAGAGGCGTTGTTTCCATTCTTGTATTTAAACAGCATTACATGCCGAATGTGTGTCTCGTCGTGTGCCATCGCTATAAGGGAATAGAGTATGCTGAACTTTACACACTATATAGGCTACACTAACGTGACGTTTAGGCAGTTCGTTTAAATATGCCTCTGATAGCTCAGCGATAAGTTTAAAGGCTCACAACACTGAAAATCGGGTTTCGATACCCGTGGTGGGCACATTTGCGCTTAAGAACAAAAAAGTAAACCAAATTATTATAATTATATATATATATATACATATGAGAGTGTAATTATTTTCACCTCCACCACAGTATTCTATGATTTGTTACTTGAACTAAACACAAGTCAATTCTATTGGGTTGGTACTTGTTATGAATTGTTGTTGTTTGTAATAAAGCACAAAGCTACACAAAGGGCTATCTGTGCTCTGCCCACCACGGATATCGAAACCTGGTTTCTAGCGATATAAGTCCGCAGACATACCGCTGTGCCACTGGGGGGCCACCTTAACATACACTTCTTGCTCAAGCAATGTGTACATCTTTATTATATTTATTATCCCACACTCTTTAACCTTAATCCATTTTATCCCTGAAGAAAAATAGACAACTATTAGAAAGTGCTGGTGTTTTTGGATCTTTGGAAATCTGCTTGATTTTTTGTCTATCCTTTTATTAATTATTTCATTAAATTTTATTTATAGATATTTTTTAATTTTGTCCAAATTGGAGATATTGTCACAAGGGCTCGTTAGAAGCAAAATCTGGAGTTATAAAAACAAGTATAGCTAAACATTAAACGACGTCTCATAATCTTTTCAAGGAAATACACTAAGAGTGTGCTTAATACAAACGTTGTCTATGATCTATATCAATTGTAGCTTTCATGACGAATACAAACAGTTTAATTAGAATAATAAATTTTACAGTCTTTTTATGTATATTAAGTATATTTGACTACTCATCGATTACCGTGTAAACATCAACAGTTTTCGCATAATCAAGTTATTAAACAAAATATAGTGAAGACTATATATACTTATGCAGGCCCTAAAGAACAAACCTCAATGTAGATTACATTACTTTTATCTTACAAGTTTACCTCTTGAAAGCAAAAGCAAAAGGATATTGCTTTGTTAATTAATATTAGACAAAAATGATTGTTAAATAATTTGTTGCACTTCAGAAGATATTACCCATATGAGTTATACAGTTAACACAGGTTTTCCTAGTGTGCAGTTGATCACAAATTGTGCACCTGTAAAATATTTGTGCAGTTGAAAATTCAGTTATATAAGTAAGTTCAAGTGGATAAATACTGAAAAAAAAACATATTTAAGATCACAAAATTCCATTCCAGAGTTGATAACTAAATGCATTTACTAGAATATTCTTACTTTTTTTGTGGGTCATTTGTTACTAGGCTTGTATATATGAGGTGCAATATAGCGTCATGTATTAAAAAATTATTAAATTAAAATATAACTGTGCAGTTTCAAAAAAAAAAATTCTTAGGAAAAAACTTGAAGGTTACAAAAATAATACTCATAACTATATTTCCAAATGAACAAAGCGCAGAAGTTAAAACCTCTTTGTAAAGTTACTTACCATACATTAAATTATATAGAGCTCAGTTTATTCAGTTAAAAGAATTGTTTAGATACTGCGAAAGATAATTTACCTGAGAAAAACATTGGTATAAAATTCAACATACTTAGGGGTTTCGGAAATAAATTCAACAGTAACAAACACAATGCCAAATTTTATTTTAGTTCACTTTGATTAATCCCATGGTTGCATCAAAGCACGAAGCACATTCTAAATAAATAGACATTTCTCTAAATTCTGATCAAAATGATTTCAATGTTTAATTTATATAGTTCTTATTTACCAACCAATTTCTCAACCAAGCAACAATTTATTAGAAAATTATAATTTTCATTACTGATACTAGATGGCGAGACATGCAACATGACAAACATTCGAAACTTCTTTCACATGTTCCATGTCTTGCCATTAAGTGCAGGTAGTAAAGGTTATTTTTGTCTTTCTCCCAACGTCTTTCTTATCAATGGAGTTTTCACGCTACAACAGGGTGGGAACTCTGTTACAGTATCCCACAAATTAATTACTAGATGATAGAGTAAACATTGCGTACGAAAATAATGCGGCTATTTTATATTTAATCTAAAAAATTAGCTTTAAAGTTCTCATCCTCATAAAACTGTGCTCAATAGGAACCCTAAGATTTGAAGTTAATATATTGAAGTCGTTGCTCTCATTCAAATATACGTTTTATGTTTCTATAACGTGAATATATGTGTTCCGCATGTATCTGAAAACATCACCTCATCAACATATTTAGAATGGCTGTCAAGGATACCACAAACATAAATGCTAAGATTAAAAAGTCATAAGGCTTCAGTAAATATATTTGAAAAAAAGAGGGAAATCACTTGTTATATAATGTTGGCTGTATATGGAATTACAATTAAAATAAGATTCAAGAATGTACAGTTATTTTTTTATGGCTATCATAGAAAAGGTGCTTTCTTGTAATCGGAATCACGTGATGCTAACAAATTGCGTACCACGTTGTTATTATCCAAACGTCTTATGATACGATGTGAACTGCAAAACAAAAAAGAGAGTCTGAGTGTATATCCAAGCATTGTTTATAAATGGTAATACATTATGTGCTTAAGTGACCAATATAGTTTCTGTGGAAACTAAGGCAATGAGCGTAGCCGGAAATTAGATATCGATATATGTGTGTGTATCATTTGCTCTGCACTTAATTCTCTAACATTCGACGCAAAACCACATAACGTGTCATAGTGTGCTTTTCAAGTTTCAACTATTGTCAAAATGGATCGAACGTACACGGGAATACACCACATGGGTACGAGGGGTGGGTCGGTATGGGCGCGGAAGATAGACTGTTGGAAACGCCCTGTAAGTCCACCATGGGCGTAGATGTTCTTAGCAGCATTTGTCTCCGTTCGTATTAGAGGGCCGCCTTTACCTGTGGACACAGTGGTTAATTTGAGATAGCCTTTTGTCGCGTTTGTAGGCTAAGGAACAGGCCTAATGTTGATTTATTTATAAAATAAAGTGGAATAATTCCATTTAGTTTATTCCCTTTGTTCACCATTCGTTACAAAAGATAGCATTACGAGGAAGTATAACCCACTTAGTGTTTATACTGTTTTTGTCTTTTCAACCTATAGTTGTTGTTTTCATCACAAATGTTTAACTTGTTTGTTTTTCTTTTATTACTTTCTTATTAATATAAGTGATATTTAGCAATTATGACTTAAAGTGTTTAATACAGATACACAATTCTTCTTAATTTATTTCACATCTTAATGACACGGCTTCGCTTGCATCATACTCAGCTAGAATCGTGCTGATAACCTAGATTAGATTTACCCAAAGTCCATTGTATGAATGATGTTTGCCATCCTAGCGATTATTGCCGATAAACAAGGCTCACACAAATACCTGTAAGACGTTTTCGGCGTGACTGATTAACAGTCTTAAAATTTAATAGACGTTTTAGGGTATCATAGTAAAATATATATATACTTAGTAAAAGTTATTTGCGTTAATATTATTTGGTTCGTTTCCTTAGGAGTGTTGTCCCGTAAATATGTTTTAAGATGAATGCATAATAGTTTGGCTGTATCGATGTACATTAATTTTAAGCTGCTTTACACAGATTTAAATCAAATTTAGTTGTTCATGTAGGCTAACATATTAATTTAAAAAAAATTCGATTATAAAAAGTTGCAAGGTGGCAAATAGTAAACCCAGAAAACTTTTCTCAGCGAAATTTATTTCTTCCATATCACAATTTATATTATTGTATATTTTGTATTTATACATATGTCTGCTTCATTCTTTACTGAGTGTATTTTTAGACAATGGTACACATGTTTTCAGGTATATAATTACTTACGCTACCTAGGGCAGATAATTTTCTATTTTTGTACCCAGACCAAGATATGAGAAATATTATAATTTTTTATTTTCATTCAAGCTATCATTTTTCAACAACTTCCTTGTTCCGTTTTGACAAACAAGATCATATGTCGTGGTCACATTTTGTAAGCGTCTGTGCTGTTGGATATTGCAACAAAGGGCACGTGAAGAGAGTGTGGGATGAGCTTAAGGTCCTTTAGTTATAAGAGATTTAAATACCCCCCCCCCTCCCATCCCTCAAGATAGGCCGGCGTCCTTGAATATCAGTTTCTGACATGGGCGGTGTTGTTGTTTGGGGCTGCATTCTTTTGTGTTCCGCCTGCCAGTCACGCCTACTACGATGACCGCTTTAGTCGTAGTACAACTAAAATGTGTATCTCTCCCTCTTCTCTCTCTCTCTCTACATATATATATATATTACTCCGCTCTATGATGTCATATGTTCTTGGAGAAAATAAATATATTTGATAAACATTTCAGGCATCGCGTATACACGTGAGTTTACTGAAATATAATTATTAGGCTTATTTGTCAAAATAAAGTCAGAACATTTTGTTTGAAATTTCAGACTTTTTCTATTCCGCGGATGTGTACCTAGTAGTTCATGCTGCTCATACTAGTGCGTCACATGGAAATTATCACAGGTGTGAGTGGCCGCCATCTTAGATTTCAGATGTTGGCGCGCTTGTGTTTCATGGCAACCTTTTAGTGTCAAATATCACAGAATGACCACAGTTGCTGTTAGAAGACAGCAGCAAGATTACGTAGTACCCAGTAGTGCATCACAGGTAAGTTTTTAGCTAATTAAAAAGGGTTAAATCTTAATTATGCGTTTGATATATCATTGTTTGCCGTTCTCACTCACACCCCTTTCTTTCTTAACTCCGCCTATATAGGAAATACAGCCGTCCCCGTTGGCGCTTTTGGCCGCTACTTGTAGCAAGATAGGGTCACCAGTTGATGAGGGTGGTGCCCAAGGATCATCAACCGTCAAGGTGGTAGGTCAAAACCAGGTTTTACGAAGTGGAGAAATTATCGCAACGGCCGCAGGACCAGCTCATTTTATACCAGTTCAATCACAAGCTGTAGGGCTGTTGAACCCGGATGGAACTGTGACACAGGTCGCGGGCGTGAACGGACAATCGGCTCAGCCCGCGGCTGTGACTGTATCGGCAACCGGGATCAAATCACTTCCAACATCTGTTTCTGTCGTACCTCATAATCCTCAAACTGGAGTGTCTGTGGCATCTGTCAATGGTCAGTTGTATCCTGGAGCACAAACAATTGTAGCACAGCCTCAAGCAAGTGGAAACATTACTTATAGTGTTATTTCAGCAGACCAACTCCAGAACCTGCAAATTGATGGGCAAGGAGCAATTTATATTCCTGGCATCAGTAACATCAGCCAACTAGCTACTGGTCAAACACAACCTATTCAGATTAATGGAAACCAAGGTGTCCTTGCCCCAAGTGGGCAGACTTTTATTCGTGCCCCAAATGCCCAAACATCATCTTCATTGGCTCTGCAAAATAATCCTGCAGCAGTGCTTCAACAGGTGCAAGGAGTTCATGGGGTTGGAAACATAAACAACGTTGCATTTGCTCCTCTGGGTGGACAAAATATGGCAATTCGCCAAGGAAACTTACTACAAGCATTTCAGCTTCCACTCAGTGCTGTGCAGCAGACCATTCCAGTTCAAGTCCCTGTATCAACAGCAGGAGGTCAGACAGTACTTCAAACTATCCATCTCCCAGTTCAAGTCATACAGGGTGTTGGAGGAGGAAATATGCTGACCACTACAGGACAACCTGCCCCTGCCCAGGTGATGACTCAGCTAGCTGCAACACAAATGCCAACACAATTAGCCCAGGTACAAATGATTAGTATATTAGGTTCAGATGATAGAATTCATTTAAGTAATTTCAGTGTTCTTTTTTCTAAATTTTTCATTATTTTTTTCTGACCATATACGTTACTTCTAATCAGTGTCAAGGCCATATGTGTTAAATTTTAGTTATTTGTTAATTTAATCCTTAAATAGTTCATACTACTACTAGCAAGATTTTTAAACAGTGTTATGGGTTCTGTTATATGAACATTATCCTACTTGTAATTTGTATTTAAAACACAAGTCTGATTTACTGATTCAAGAAATTGAGAAATTTATTTATCAGTCTCCCACAGTACCTAATATTTATGAATTGGAAGCTAATGACACTAGAAAACAATCCTGTGCTTGTGGTTTTTGTTAGCAATTTTGTATTCCATAACAAATTGGATTGTTACAAAATCTGCTGTGATGTTTTTATTATTTCTAGACAATGTGCTGATCAAACAATATCAAGTACAACCAGGCAACAACTCACATCAGGCCTGGAAATAGCATCTGGTTTTCAGACTTTAACCAACCAAATTAAAATGTCCAACTAATATAAGTACAAATGTTCCATTGAGCCAGAGATTTTAATACAAGAAAAATCTAACCAAAGTAGATGAAAACAGTTGTATTCAAACTGTTTTTTTGATTGACCATTAATACTTAAGGAATGGTTAATATTTAGATAAAAGTATCAAAAACTTCCAGTAATGTTTTGTAACATTACCTAAACAATCTTGTATAAGTGCCAGTTAAACATCTAATCTACTTTCATGTGAGTTATATGTGAAACAAAATAAAAAAAACATGATATATTTTTATCACAATGCAATGCTTGGTAACTTTAACATTTAAATGACAAATAAGTATTATCATGAGTTGTCAAATGTTATTCAGTGAATTTTTGTATGAAAATCATATGGGTGTTTACTGGAATAATTGTAGGAGGGCAAGTTATGAAACTGAAATTATTCTTTCAGTAAGGGAATAGTATATTTATTTGTTATAATAGTAGTTGTAACAGTAGTAGTAAATTCTACCACTTGCATTTCAAAGTTATTTTACTTTCAGAATTCAATGGATGCTTTTACTACCAGTTAGTTTTTAGAAGTTTGAGGCACAGAGAAGCTAGTTTTATGAAAGTGAATCTGTGTTACATGAAACATGAGCTCATTGTCAAAGTACTGTTTGCAACATATTAGAGTGCACAAAAAAAAAATGCAAGATCAGTTGCATTTCTAGGATTCTTTATTTGTGGGGGCATAAGAGGGCAAAAGAATTAACATTTTTATATCGGTTGTAGTCACAATGTAGAGAATTTAAAAATATAAAAGACTATCTTGATCAGATGAGGGCAGAGCTCTCCAATGGGGGCTGCTCCCACGCTACCCCAGTGGACATGCCTCTGTTCTAGAATGACACATAGCCTAGGATATTTAACTTTTAAGAGATGAGTAAAGGCTATGTATCCTTTGGGAAGCAGAATAACTGGGAGAGAACTTGATTCTGGTATTCAAACTTTTTATGAGTTATCATATGTATTATCTTTTTGGGTAGGTGAAATGTAAAGCTTAGAAATAAATATCTCATAGTAGGGATGAAATGGTGAATCTTTGAAAGCCTTGATGCAGACTTATTTCTCAAAAAATATTTTGTTTGGTTTGAGGGTATAACTTTGTGAAATGATTTAACTGGTGATGAAGTATGGGCAGTTCTAATTATTTTAACTTTATTGGATAGGTTTATGAATGTACAGTTATGTGTTAAAATTAAGTAACATTTATCTTTTCTCTCCTAGTGTTTCTTTGTGTAAGGTGACCTCAGTGGATTATCTTCTATCATCCTGCTTTTTGTTTTGTTCTTATACATATTAAATTGGTTAAGAGAAACCATAGAAGCTTTATAATCAAGAAACAAACTGTTAAGCTTAGACTTTCAGTTATACTTCAAAAGGTAGTAACAAACCTTTCTCTTGTACATATACACACAAAAATGCATAAATAAGTTCATTTTGCATGGGATTTATAAAATAATGGCATTACTGCCAGGAGGTGTATCAAACACACTACAGGTTTTACAAAATATTCAACACTAATCAATAAACTTCTGGCCAGGACTTTGTAAATAAACAACTTAATATCCAAATAAATCTCAAATACAAAAAACAATGCTCTTAATTTGAAAATCACAAAATAGTTATAGTGATAATAATAATAATAATAAAAAAATCAGGAAAAAAGGACTAGAAGAAGAAAAATATAGCTCATAAGATTATTCAAAATAACAGTATTATACATTTCTCAAGGAAATACCTTTAAATCACAAGTAAAAGATAAACGATTACTTTCAGTAACATCTTTTAACAAATAAAATATCTTATGTAACAACTTCACAGATCCCTTTCACTTAACACCCCTCTCTCTCTCTAAATTAAATTTCTCCTATGTGCTGTTATTCTCTGATAACAGATAAATTAAACTATTACTTGTAGTAAATGAAACTCTTCCTACTTTGAAAATAATACAATTTATAGTATGATGATCTAGTTCTGTAACATAGCAATTAACTGTCCACTATATTCTTGACTAGCTCTATAAAGACCCTTCAAGAAATTCCAGGAACTGTTTAATTAACACATAAAGATATAATGCTAAATTAATTTCTTACAATATGTTGAACAGAAAATGCTGAAATTTATTCAAATAATTAAAGAATGTAAAAAAAATACAGTTAAAGGTAAGAGAGATTATGAAAGTTTCTTGGCCCAAAAAAATATTGATTTCAGAAATTAAAGCTGGCTGATTAATTGATATAATCAAATTACTGATGAGCATAAATTAGTGTCCCATAAAATAATTGTAAGTATGATTCAGTTGATAAATTTCATGAAAATAATCAACTATTTTTTCTGATTATTATTGTTTTTGATTATTCCAACTATTCAGTAATCAAAATATTACCATTAGGATTTTTCATTATTATTTTCAATTGATTCAAGTTCCTTAAAACTTAATCTATTAATATCATGATTCTCAAAAATGAATAATAAAAATTAGGGTTGCAATTATTACTATTTTTGGTTATTGCAGCTATATAAGTAATTGAAATATTGGCATTATGTATGCTTATTATTGAGCACAAAGCTACACAATGGGCTATCTGTGCTTTACTCACCATGGGGTATAGAAACCCAGTTTGAGATATTATAAGTTGTTGTTTTATTTTGTCAACTCATGAGAGTAATCAGTGTTTTTATTTATTGCACATTTTTTAGCCATCTTGTAAGAATAATCATTTAGTTGAATGTAATTGATTAATGAGCTCAACAATTAATAGATCAGCAAATTCTACTAATTCTCCAGTTCTATCAGAATTTGTCAAGAATATTATATGCATTCTTTGAGATATTTAAAGGAGGCCTCTTTAAAGAGAAAAGGAACATAGATGAAGTTCTCAAACATTTTGTTTTACAAGAGTTTTTAATGGTGAAACGGAGGAAGAAATTCCATTCTCAAGCTGACCAGTTTTTCAAGATATGGGGAATTGTTCTTTAAGCATTATTCATGTTGATAAAGAAGCTGTTTGAAAACAAATCTGAAACTACATGAAAATAAAGTTTTTATCCACTGCAGAAAATTATAGAAGTACAACATGCATGGCAGTGTTGTTTCATAGTTGCTATGCTGGGTTCGGGCATGTGACATTAATTTATTGTTAGCATTTTGCAAAATATTATGTAGCTTGCATTATATTTTTGTTGTTTTGCAATATTTTATAAAATAGTTATCTAATCTTAAGCCTTTTCACAGCCTACTGATGGGCTGCAACCTACCAGTTGAGAAATAGTGCCCTGATTTATTCTGATGATGCTGTCTTATTGTTTTTAGTGTTGATGTTTGGTTACCAAACTTTGATAAATGAATCTACCATTAGTTTTAATGAATTAATAAACTTGTATGTTACTTTACCTTTTCCTATCTCCACCCCCAAATACACACACACACACAAACAACATTTATTTGGATTTAAATGCTTCAGTGTTGCTTACCATGGAATTAGCTAATCAGGGATCACAAGATTTGTGGTTCATTTTTTAAAAGTATTTTGTAGATACAAAGAGAAGGATGACATGAGCACATGCTAGTATCTTTAGGAGATGTTGATGTTAACATGCTGGGTTTTTTCTTGGAAGTCATTAGTTGAGGGAGGGGGGACTTGAAGTCAGTACCAATGTATGTATACTTTGCTGAGCTGTGACACAACAAGATTAACTTGTGGAAGTACCAAGTTACTAAATGTAGTATCCACTTGTCTGCTCTCTATAACTACCCAGCAAAATGTTAAACCCTTTACAAATTTTAACATTACAGATGGTGCACCCTAGTATTAGAATCAAGGCAGTTTCTGTGTCATAAACATTTGTGGCCTCTCTTATCCTACAGTCTTAATATTATACGCTGCTTTTATGCTTTTTTTAATTGAAATTTTCATATAATTTTACTATGTATAAAATTAGATCCTATGACAATATATGTTCAGAAATGTTGCTAAAACTACTTCCATCATCATCATTTGTGCTTATTCTAGTGATCATCAAATAAATAGATGTTAAACATATCATCCATGATACCACAATATTTATTGGCAGTGACATTCCACAATAATAGCATATGAAAGTATGATTAAATTTCTACATAATCATTCATCTCTGAATAACTTGAATATGACACATATCATATAGAAGTTTCAACATTTGTTAATATTTTAAATTTAAATCAGAAATTTTTCACATCTGTTCATCTTGTATGAATCTAATAGCCTAGCAAACTTCAGCAAGCTCTGAGAGGGTCGAGCTGAAGACAGTGGCTGAGTTCACATGGAATTACTCTTTTATTACTGAGCCTGTTTAGTTATGAGAGAGGCAAATAGGCTTGAAAAGAAATGGAACCAAAGAAATTCAAAATTATTTAAATGGTTAAAGCTTCAAACTATAAGTAAAATAACAATGTGGACTAGAGTAAGGAAACCTGCCTTTTTAGATTGCGTAATACATTATTGTTTTGTAATTAACAATGCACATCATATCTCTTCAGGCTGTGTTTGTATAGTGTGCAAATAAATGAATATATATATGTATTCTTTAAGAAACTCAAATTACACATGCTCGTACATGCAGGGAATGATGTAGAATAATTCAGAATTGAAGGTTACATAAATTGGTTAGAGAGTTCATTGCCATATAAACAATACAAAATCATCTCTGTATTATTTTTCCTAAAGAAAATGGTGGTGTAACTTTACTAGCAAACCTGATATAAACTTTATTTTTATTTTCGCTGTGATGCTGATATGTTTGATTTTTGGTACATGCACAATTTTTTTCTCAAGTTACCACTCAACTGACGTTTATATGTAATTAAGTTGTGTCTGCTGTAGAAAATATTTCATTTTCTAGTTCTAGCTGTGCAGTTGTTAATAATTCATCAAAACTAGCATGCACTAATTGTTTGAAAATTCTAAGGTTGTGAAATGAAGTATGTGTGTGTATATTTTTAGAGAACTTTATCTTCTATAGATGTATGAGGTAGCCAGTAAAGTGAGATCTTAATAAAATAATATTTTTATTTAGCTTGTATCACAAGGACAGTTGCAACAACTACAGATGGGAACTCCCTTCCAGGTGTTGCAACTAGCTCAGAATCCAGCTCAAAATACATCAACCACTTGGACAACTGGTGTTGTAACTCCAGTAGTGACTTCTATTTCATCCACAGAAGCTTCTGCTACTAGCCAGGGTCAAACAAATACTGTTCCATCTGGGTCAGCCAACACTACTGTAGTGTCAGGTGGTCAACCAGTAAATGTCCAGAGCCTGCAATTACCAAATGGTCAAATTGTCCAAGGGCATCAAATGAGCCAAATTCTTACCCAGGGTGGTGCTGCTGCTACCTGGTGGCCATCATCTGCAATCAGTGTATCTAATTTAGCTGGACTCAGAGCACCAAACATCATTCAGGTCAGAAGAAATTTGTTGAAATTATAAGTGACATTTTTACTTGTCAGAGTGATACATGTAATAGCATTTGACAGTTACACACACATAGAGTTTGACTACTCATAGTATATACACAATGAAGTTGTACTCATCAGAGTAAAATGTAAATGTACTCAATCAAACAATATTATCTGTGTTCATATTCAACAAATATAATTCTAGTACTTCTCCAAAAATATTTTTAATATAATTATATTATAGATGATACTTGAATTTGGTACGTGTGTCACCAGAAATAGTTAAAGTTGGAAACTAGCTATGTTGTTAGAAAAAAAACAAAAATTCAAGAAGTCTTGATAGAAATGAGTAAAACCCAGTTATAGTTGGAAAATAGTTAAACATCATTATCATACCTCAGACTGATTACCTGACATACTTTTGTTTAACTGCATTCAATGCACACACAAGCCTCACTACTTACCACTTGGGTGCAATTCAGAGAATTTAATTGTATGAAGATAGAAAACTTGGTGTAATTTTATGAAATTATTTCACTTATTAATAATAAAATAAAAAATGTTACAATGTTCACTTTGCCCAAAGCCATATAACATTTTTATAAACTCGATGCTAGAATTGCTGCCATCTTGTCAATTTTATATTAGTGTTAGATATACATGACTGTGTCAGTTTTTAATGTGAGTGTTATGATTTAGATAGTTTATAGCATAGATGTCATATTTTATGGTAAGTTTGTTTATTTAACTTTTTATGATTTGTACGTTGTGTAGTTCAATTGTTATGAATTGGCAGTTGTTTACAATAGTGAGATTATTGCATCATTTTGCTAGAACTTTCTGAGTTTCTCATTGGCTTAATTGAGTATTATTGCATCAGGATATCTAGTATTGCATAGAATGCTCTAGACTTCTGTCAGTGTATAAATATGCATCAAAAAAATCATTATTTAGTTCAAGTTCTAGACTGCATGATTGTGAGTTTAGTGATAAAGAGTGTACAGTGGCAATTTTTTAAAGTGAAATTATCACAGACTTTATTGTAATAACGGAGTAGAGAGGAATAATTTGTCATGTCAAAAAAGAGACAATTATTTAAAACTCTGGATACAGTTGTGGTATCCAACAGTGTAATGAATATAAACTCGATGCTAGAATTGCTGCCATTTTGTCAATTTTATATTCGTGTTAGATATACATGACTGTGTCAGTTTTTAATGTGTGTGTTATGATTTAGATAGTGTATAGCATGGATGTCATATTTTATGGTAAGTTTGTTTATTTAACTTTTTATGATTCGTAGGTTGTGTAGTTCAATTGTTATGAATTGGCAGTTGTTTACAATATATAATTTCAAAACAAGCAGACTGTGTTGCTGTTTGTTTATAGTTTAAATTTATTGCCAACAAGTCACAGATACCTACTGTAAAGAATCTAGCCTTACAAAACCTGACAATGAACATTTCCTGTATTTTTGTAAGATGAATAATTTTAACACAGATCTATGTAAGTAACTTAGATGCAGATTTTGATAGCATGAAATTAATTTAAAATAAAAGTAATTAAATTTGAATTCATTAGAAAGTGAACTTCAAACATTATTTGTTTTTGCTATCAGTCAGTATATAAAAACGTTACTTAGATTGAGTTTCACTCCTGATTATATGCATTTGATAGTACAAAACATTTGTTAGGTGTTATGTTAAACGACAATAAAAAAATAGAAAGTTACTAAAATAAAATGGAGTACACCAAAGCCTAGTATTTCCAGTAAAGGTTTCACATCTTTATTAGCATGTTGATAATAGAGGTCTTTATCCAAAACATATGTAATAAGACTCAGAGCCACAAGTTATTGAACATGGACAGCATATTGTTACGTTTCCATTTGTTAATTAACTTTCCGTAACTTCATTCCAACGAAACTTTAGCGACACAAGTCCTTACTTAATAAAACTGGTTTATTCTTTCCGAATACAACTTTACGATACACTTATTTTCAACAATCGCGCTAAAACAAACGCTATATCAACGAACGTCAATAACACTTCTGACTGCAGTTCAATTACTCACTATCTACACACACATTACATTATTGCGTCACGTTGTCACCCTCTTATATATACCAGCCTACCCTATCTAGTAAATACTAGAGCATTCGCCATGGTACGGGATAGTTCTAGAAACTAGAGGGCGTGAGAATAGTCACGTGATCTCGATGACGCAACAATATGTACCAAAAACAGTAAATTTGCTTTTAGAAAGTTACACAAGACTTTAACTGTTTTATTATAGATCGTACATCAGAGTTCTGTATATGTCAACAATCCAGATTTCTAGGAGTGGAAGATAATTGTTATTACATAATTTATTATTTGGTGCAAAGATGACTTAAATTGTAGATAGTTACAATGAACTAACATTTTTCATATACAGTAACTGATATTTCCAAGATTTGGTGATAAAGAAAGTTGTTAATATTATTCAGTGATTACAATACTAATTAGACAACTTGTAGCTGAACAGTAAATAGCATGGATGATGATGATGATAATATGCACAGAAAAGGAGGTATAGGCTTATTTATGTTAGTGAAGAACAAAAAGAGATCAGTGGTTGATAGAAAATGAACCCTAAAATCATTGTTTGAAAACAGTAAAAATGGAATTCTTTATACTGAGTAGCCAACCTCAACATTTTTTTCAAGGAAGGAGAATTCTTATCCATGTCATTAAACTCATGATAACTAGTTGTGATAGAAAAAATTGAAGGCAACTATTCCCTTTTGACACCTAACTTTATTATCGTGTTTATAACAATTATCACTTACTTACTGTTACTAACATATTGACTCTATATTAATGGAAAAAATTTTAGTGAAAATACTTTTTTTTAAAATTTAGATTTTTTGTCTACAAGACGCTTGTAATTCTTACTGATAGGTTGCAAAATTTCATATTAAAAGCTATAGTATGGAAACTCTAAATTTGGGGTCAAGATTTCAGTTGAATCAACTGAGCCTGTAACGAAATCTAGAAAGGACATCATTTGTTGGAAAGGGTTCAGAGCAGGGCTATTAGGATGATACGTGGGAGGGAAAGGTTGTCATATGAGGATAGTTTACGACACTAACATGTAGAGGACATTAACAGGGCAGAGGATCATTGCAAAAAAAAAAGTCACTCTTCAAGCATCAAAAGCAAAACTTTTTTTTTTTTTTGGAGAGGGAGATGTTAGTGGGGACTGTGGGTTGCTTCTGGTACACATAGAGTAGATATCCATAAGAAGCAAACAGATCCTCATGTATTCTTATTCAATCTGTCTTATGAACACTTTGAAAATCTAAAACTGAACAGTAACTTCTTGCACATTAACACTTATTAACATATCACAATTACCATATTTAATGTAAAGACTTACTATTCCCTATGTGCTTTTTAATTAATTTAAAGCTGAAATCTTTTGTTTTTGTGAACACAGTACAACATCCCCTCACCCAAAGCTATTTTGACCTTGATTTGCACTCTAAACATTGCTAAAACTTCCAACAGTGCATCAGTCTTTCATACCCCTTCATTTTTGTGCCAATGCAGCAACATGTGTTGATGATTTGACTACCCTACACAAATCATACTGCAACACCTATAGTAGTGCAGGTAGCTCCTTCTACTATTCCAGCACGATCTTCACTTGATTGGCATTCTAGTGTATAGACGTGTGTTTTAACTCATCTTTCATGCAACAACAAAATTTGGATTGTGCTTGATCACATATTCATATCAGTTTTCACTTCTTGTGTTTGATTTCCATTGTTTCTACTTGTTTGTTTTAGAAATGTTTCTGTTTTCCAAAATCTACTTTGTTCATATGGTTGTGACAATAGCCCTCAATTCTTAGGGTCAACATTGTCTGCTGGGGAAGCACATGCTTTAGTTTACAGGGAGTTTGTGTCTTATGTTCGGATGATGATTTTTCCTTTCACGTTACATTTTTTGTGAAGAGGGATGTAATTGTGTGGAAATTTTCTTTCTATGGCACCTTCCACCTGTTACTATGACACCACATAATCTGCTGGGTTAGATATTATTCTTTTTCCCAGGAGCTCAGTGGTAAGTTTTTCAGTGTGTATTTCTCACTCCCCATAGGTATACCCATTTTCTGTAAGTTTATATGAGTTTGTATGGATGGATCTACATTCTGCACTCAATAATTTAGGTCATTCATATCTTCTCTGCTCAGTGTTGAGTAAGTTAGATTTTTATTGTTCTTCTTTTACCATCTCAGTTACTTTAGTTTAAACTTGTTTTTGGAGTTTGAATATTCCTTTGTTTTTGTGTAAATTTTGACTTCTTTTCACTATTACTGTTATTTAGTTTGTAAGTTCCTTTTTCTTTACTTCTAGTCACATCTAATTGGAGATTAGATCTCAGTCAAACTTTGTTATTGTCCACCAAGTGCTTTTTTTATTTTCATGTTTTTCATGGTAGGTTTTAATTTTTTGTCCTTTGTCTTATAGATTCGTTGGGTGGAATTATCTGATATTGATATTTCAGGGTCGTTTATCTTCTAAATTCCTTTAGTGGTTTTACATTTTAGGTTGAATTTCATAGTTTTGTAGGTTTGTTATTTTTATGTACTTTGTAGACTCCACGTATTTCTAAGTTTTGTTACTTTGTTATTAATCAGTACTTTCTCTAAATATGTTTAGTTATGTGTCTTTTTGGCTACACTTCCAGACAGTTCCATGAGTTCTATCCGAGGGTTTCTGTCTTCCAATTCACTCCCCCTCTATCCACTTCCCAGATCTCCTCGGGACTGTGCCTCATCTAGTCATGTATTCCCCTCCTTTTTTCTTCTAGTGGAGCACAAGAGACCTTGTCACTTCTGGTTCCCAGTCACTGGAATGGTGGACCATGGAAGTTTCCTCAGGAATAGGGTTTGTACAATATACTAAATCAAAATTCATAGATCATATGTACCCACTCAGTGAGAAGAGGGCTATCG